CCGCACGCGCATCGGCGGCGCGGCGACTGCAGCGTCCGCCATCGACTGGGCCTCCATCCGCAGCGAGGCAATGGTGCGGCAGCAGGAGGCGGCCGCCGCTGCAGCGGCAGCCGGAGGCGGCGCAGACGACGACGGCTCGGCGCCGTACGACCCCGCGGCGGACGACGGCGGCGGCCTGAGCGACGGCGACGACGACGCCGGAGGGGACGGGGACGGCGAGGGCGCGGGCGTGGCCGACCTGTCGCCCATCGTCGCGCCGCGCCCGGCGGGCGCGGCGGGCGCGGCGGGGCGGCCGCCGGGCGCGGCGGTGTGGGCGGGCAAGTTTGTGACGGCGGGGGCGGGGCGGTTCTCTGCGGTGGTGTCGTTCCTGGGGGGCTGCGGGCCGCTGGACCTGATGATGGGCCCCCAGGTGGGTGGGGGGGCGTTTGCGACTGAATTGGCGCGAGTGGCTGGTGTACAGCAGTGTTTGTTGGGGGGCGGGGGAGGGGGCACAGCAGAGGGTGCGGTGAGGGCAATGAGAACCCCCGACGCCATGCACGCATGGGCGCCTCGCAAGGGCACCTGGAGCAGCCACATGCACCCCCTCACACCCCCTTGACCCTCTCGGACCCTCCTTTTCCCCGCCTCGCCGCCGGCTGGCCCCCAGGGCTCCTCCCTGGACGTCATCGGCCGCGTGGCAGCCGACAAGTTCACCTCCTTCCTGGAGGAGCTGCGCGCCAGCCGCTCGCGCACGGTCACACTGGGCGTCGCGGCGCCGCCGCCGGACGCGGACCCCCTCGATGCGGCACACCTGCACGACACGGTGGGTGGGATGATGCGACACGTTCTCAGCACATGAACCTCCCCCTCTGTGTGCCGGGGAGCTGCCAGCCCCTCGCGCGCACAGCTGCGCCGCTGCCCGCCGCGGCGCAGGCACTCCTCCCCAACAGGCTCCCCAGTGTACATGTTCGCGGCCCGCGCACCCCTGCCGGTCTGCCCGGCTGGATTCTCCCTCCCACAGCCTCTGCTCCCTGCCGAGGCGGCCTGCAAGCTCTCCGGGCCCTGCCAAAGCCTCCCTCTCCGCTGTCCCCCGCTCCTCTCACACCCCCCCCCCTCGTTGCTCCTCCTTCAAGCAACTGCACCCGGTCCCCGCCGCACCGCCAACCCCGACCCGCCAGGTCCGGCGGTACAGCTCGAGCGGCCGCATCGGGCGGCTGCAAATGCCGGGGGGCTCCGCGGTTGAGGGCTACCTCATACCCCGCGGCGGTGAGCCGGGTTGCTTTTTGCGGGCTCGATTCCAATTTGTGATCAACGCCAGGGCCGGCTGCAGCGCCCGCGCGTCTGCACCGTCGGGCCATCGAGGCCGGGCCGAGCAGCTTTTCTCTGCTTGGCGCGCGCACCTGTAGAGTGCCCTGGCCGGTAGTTGCAGTCATGTGCAGCGGTCGGCTGCCTGTGCTACGGTTGGGTCCACCACACTCACACGCCTCGCAAAGGCAACACACCCGCAGGGCATGTGCAGTGCGAGGTTGACACACACACAGTACGAACCCCCCCCACATACACACACACTCACACACACACTCACACACACAATTACACGCCCCGCCGCAGACCTCACCGCGCGCCTCGCCAAGACGGCGCGCCTGGCCGCCCCCCCGCAGCACGCGCACCTCGTGCCCTTCAACGTGGCCGGGGGCGAGCTCCTGGTGGTGGTCATCCACAGGAAGGACCTCGCGGGGGCGCTGCCGCCAGGGGTCAGCGCGGACCAGCAGCAGCAGCAGCAGCAGCAGCAGCAGCAACAGCAGCAGCAGCAGCAGCAGGTGCAAGCGGCGCCGGGCGACCCGCGCGCGGCGCGGCTGACGCAGCAGCAGCAGCAGCAGCAGCAGCAGCAGCAGCCAAGCGGCGGGGGCGCGGCGGCGGCGTTCGATTCGCTCTTGCAAAAGGCGGGCGTCGCGCCAGCGGCGGCGCCGCCGCCTGGTGCTGCTGCGGCGGCGGCGGCGGCGGCTCTGCCATGGCAGCAGCAGCAGCAGCAGGCGCCGCTGCAGCAGCAGCAGAGCGGGGGGACGTACTCGCCCGTGCACCCCTCGCAGCAGCCGGCGCCCGCGGCCGGCGCGACCCCGCTCGACCCTCGGCGCCGCGGCTCTGCGGCGGCCCCGCAGCAGCCGGCCCATCTTCAGCAGCAGCAGCAGCATCAGCAGCAGCAGCAGCACTCATCCCCAGCGCGGCCAGGGCCCGCCGCCGCGCCGGGCGCGCCGCCGCCGCCGGCGGCGCCGCCGGCGG